GTTTATCAATGTATTATGCATGGAATTAAGGAAAGAAACCCCCTCCTTTACTCGGAGTCCCAGTCATACCTAGTGTGCCTGAGTGATCACCATTTGTCTGGTCAGTAGCCTGAGTAGGCTTCACCATCATCTTGAACCAACCCTGATCTGACAATCTTTTTTTCAGATTGAGGGAAGTGACTGTGACTGCAACCCTATTGGGAAGAACTTTCCTGAAAACCAAATACTGATCAAGCGCATGATGATTAAGTGTGCTGATGTGGCCAACCCGTGCCGCCCGTTGGACTTGTGTATCGAATGGGCCGGGAGGATCTCTGAGGAGTATTTTGCACAGGTGAGCTGCCTCTCTAGGGGAATGGGGCCTCATTTTTTTTTTTTTTTTAAGTTACTCTCCAGCTGAGTAACTTCCTATCAATTACTAAACCACTCCTCCCTGGAAAGAAACAGCTCACTCCTCTGTAGAGGAGATTCCTGGTTCCCTCAAGGGACTGACTGATGTGGTTGGTGATGTTGCCACTAACCAAAAGCCTCTCCCAGATCAGGGGGGTAGACTGAAACTTTGTCTTTTCATCCTCAAATTGTTGGAGGCTGAACTCTCACAAAACTGGAATATCATCCATTCACTCACTAGGTCATTATTTGAGTGTCTCCATGGTGCATCATGGGGAACACAGACATGAGTAAGACACATCCCTACCTTTAGGTAGTTCACAGTCCAGTAGAGAAAAGGTGTAGACATAAATAGGTCCACACATTAGAGAAATGTGACAAGTAGTTTTTAAAGAGGTACACCTTAAGTGTTACAGGAGTTGAGAAAGATTTCCTCTATATAAAAGGGGGGCTTTGTGGAAGTGATGGTACAGCTGGTTTTTGAAGGATTTGGAAATGCAGAACTAGGAAAGGATTTTCTGAAAGAATACAGCAAACTTAGTACAATGAAAAATTAGAATTTTTATATAAAGGGAGCAGGAATAGGTAGTTCAGTTTGACTATGGCAATGTAAAGAGGAATTATAGGAGAGAAGGCCAGAAAACAGTAGATAGCAAGATACCATTTGAAAATTTCCCTATTTCTAAGGACAAATGTGTGTGGGACAGATAGAAAAACCAAGTTAGGTGCTGGCATGCATTAGCTATGAGTACTGAATGTTGGAGGGTCTCTATGGCTGGAATGTGGAGTTCCAGTAAGATGGCAGATTAGGCAAACAAACTACATGGACCCTTTTCAACAAAGAAATGAGGAACCAATAAACACAGATACAGAAGATAATCCTGGAGCCCAGAGCTTTGAAGGGAACAATACAGAAGTGGATTAGACTACAACTGGTAGAAGAGCCTACATGAGAATGGTGAAAAGGGAGACATACAGAGTTGCAGACAGTCAGTGATCCTGACGGCATGGACAGCTTGGATATTGCCAAGTGCTGTTAGAACCTAAGAATTAGCCTAAAGATCAGATCTGCTAGCCAGGGGCTACACAGAGGACTGCACTGGTGGTTGGTGAATAAAAAAGAAAGTAGCAAAGAGGGAGATGAGCTGAGCTGTGGACTTTTGGCTGTGTGGAGGGCACAGCCATTTTGAATGTTTACAAGCAGTTCGACCATTTTGGATATTTAAAGTGATAGCATTCTCCCAGATTCCAGGGACTTAAGAATAGCCTCCACTTGCTGAGAACCACAAGGACATTCTGGACACTGAGTACTGGAAAGGTGTGATATTCCCCTGGTTACTCTTACACCCCACAACCTCATGGTGAATGGAGGAGTAGCCATCCCTCACTCCCACCTACCTTCTGGCTGGCAAGAATTCCATCCCAGTTTGTGTGCTCTGACAGAGCCTGGGTGCCCTACCCCACCCAGATTTTTTTGGTTTGTTTTTGTCTGTCTGGTGGCGTAGTGCCTAAGAAACTGCTAACCAGAAGCCTGGTGTTTCAAACACACCAACCACTCCTCAGAAGGAAGGTTGGGCAATCTACTTCTATAGTGATACCACCTGGGAAACCCAAGGAGGGGTCACTGTGAGTTGGCTTGGACTCCACAGCAGTGAGTTTCAGTTTTTATTTTTAAAATTATTATTATTATAATTGTCAGTTTTATTATTCTTTCTTCTTCCCTTCCCAGGTTCTAGTTTTCAGCTTTTTCTCTCTTCCCTTTTCCTGGTTCCCTTTTTTTTTTT